ACTTTAGATATCGTTAAAATAATATTAATAGCAACTATACATTACTTTATTTTGGGTGCTTATAACATTAATAACATAAAATTTAATTAAATTTTCCCCTAAATTTATTCAAATAACTAACTAGTAAAATATACAAAAACTTTAGCAACAGAGTATTCACTATTTTACTAACAAGTTGTACGATAACATTCACCAAAAACGTAATGTGCTGGGAGATAACTTGCGCTCATATTTTCGAGGATTATGTTGCGATCTAGCAGAAGCAATGACAAGAATTATATCGTCAATAAAATTTTAAACCCCTTCTTATAGAAACTTATATTACGAATTTTTTGTTACAAATTATTTATATAAATATCTATATAAACAAAGTAATAATAAAAATGTAAACAAATTTTAATGGATTCATTTATTGTCGTAACTAAAGTTGGATGAGCTGAACAAAATAACGGAAAATTAAAATAGCGATTAAAAATCTATTGCCTACAAGATTTTAATTTAATTATGTTTTTATACGATTTAAGTTTGAGGAAAAGTGTGATAGTTTTCACTGATTAAAAGAGTGAAAACAAGTAGTCGGAACAACGATATTATAGTTTTCATAAGAGGCTTTGATATTAGATACTTGCTCTTTATAAAAATATGGTAGACAATTGTTTGTTTAGCTTTCACATAGTTTAAAGTTATTTTCACATAATTTTTCAACAAAATTCAAAAAGGGAGGGGATTATCAATTCGTTTTTTTTATGTTTGTTATCTTTCGACTGGGTGAAGCCAATACAATTATACTTTTTATATGTAAAAGCTAGTGCTTCCTGTTTCATCCTATTTCAATTTGGAACTACATTGTATATAAGTGGCAACAGTGGCGGCGTTAGGCGTGGGCGACGTGGGCCACCGCCTACGGCCTCGCGGTACAAGGAGCCTCGCGCCTCAAAAAATTTTTAAAGCGAGAAAAAAATATATAAAAATAAATCAATTTTGTTGATAATGATATTTTCTTAGACTGGCAACATTTGCCGCCTACCAAAAAAAACGTATGTACATATATAATTGTGCTATTCAATATGGTTTATTTTTATGACTGTCCTTACCAATTTTGATAAGAATAGTGTCAATGTTTTAATAATATTTAGCGAATAAATAGATAGTGTTCAAGTATATTGATTGCCCCCGAAAACAGTGACGTTTTTAATTGGTTTGTTTTCTTTGTGATTTGTAATTACACCGGTACCTGTACTCGTCTATTTTACGTAAAGTAACAAATATTTAATTGGTAATAAGTATGTAACGCAATAATTACTCAAATATAAAATACGCTTTATAATGTCTTTTGAAGGACCAAAGCTTTAAGGGTAAAAATCGTATCGACGATTAAGTTTTTAAAACTAGCAGGTAGTAAGAGCTTCAGGTTGCCATAAAATAGGGCCTCGCGAAATCTGTCTTGCCCACATCAAATTTAGGTCTTGCCCCGCCACTGAGTGGCAACCATTAAAAAAACCCTAAAAGTCTAAAATTTTCATTAAGCATTTTCATTAAGTCTACAAGAAGTGAATGAGTAACTTCAATGCTATTCATTTTTGATTTATTTATTTATAACTAACTAGCTTTCTGCCCGCAGCTTCGCCCGCGTGGAGTTCGGTTATATCGCGTTTCCAAGAGAACCTTTCACTAGTCTGGGTTAAAAACTATCCTATGTTCTTTTTCAAGGTCAACTCTATCTCTGTACCAAATTTCATTAAAATCAGTTCAGTGGTTTAGGCGTGACAGCGTAACAGATAGACAGAGTTGCTTTCGCATTTATAATATTAGTAGGGATAGTGATTTCACAAATGGTCTTATAATGATTACAACAGGACCGGAGCAACAAATCCTGAGAAAGTTTAAGAAAATCGAAAAAAGGGAAATAAATTCTTTTTATATAAATGCACCTTTGAGAAAGCCGTTCTTCACGTTTTTCGAATGATTCTTGAAGACGTCTTTCTTTCTCTATTATGCTATACATGTTCAATTTTGTAAATTTCAGACTCCTGAGCTCAAAATTTCAAAAACGCGATGCGCGTAAGAAAGGTCTCCTCATCATCAAACAGCTACTTTATCCAATCTTCAAAATGTTTAAAGTAGTACTTAATATTCCAATTCTAACTAATTACGAAACAATTTAAAACGCAATCAAAATTTCTCGAAATATTTTCATTAGTCATTTACATTTACCCATTCATTATACAATTAGGTTAAGTAATAATTTATTTTTATCAGGACTTCAGGACTCAATATACTTGGACATACAAATAAAATTTAATAAATACTGAACAATGAAACATTACTTAAATATAAAATATGACTGTTTTGAGCAATTCAAATATAATTTTGTTGATAATGTTTTTAGATTTCCTCAGGTTCTCAGCACAAAATAAACCAAAACTCAAAAGTAAAAAAATATCGAAAGGAACTTATTATTGTTATTTTAGTCCACATATTCATTTTGACACCAAGTATTTGTTATGTTTAAAGAGCGCTTGTTGCGCTTGGTAACCTTCTACCAATAATATAATTTTAATGAATATGAATCTACTTAAATATATATCTATAAATAGTGATTTATCTGTGATAGATTAGTTTCGAAGCAAATTTTGTTACTTGACTAAAAACTCAGAAAGACCGCCAGATTACCTTAAAACAAAGATAGCAAAAAGTTTTATTTCAATTGGGCAACGACGCCCAGTTGTGCTTACTTCCTTTACTGTCTCCTTCTTTTTTTCTGAGGATGTATGATTATGTATAAATCGTTGCAGTCAAAACCTCTTCCGCTAGGTCGAAAAGAGTGATAAATCACTTTCCGAACGGAAAAATATCTGTGTTTCTACTTGTGAGGAAGAGTCCTGAGATAGTTATAAAAGTGGTTATTAAACAAAAAGTCTTAATGTTATTCTCATTTGAATAGACCAAAAATATATATGCCACTCTTTCAGTCAATTCTACCTGATGACGTAAAACATCTTCTTAGGTAGTTCATAAACAAAAAGAACTTCTAGGACTACGTTTTTGTATTACCAACTAATATTCGTGTAATTTAATTACTATTTGTATACCAACTATGTATTATTCGTTTCTCTGCCAAATTTGACTTGAAACCATATATAAATCAACCCAGGATAAAAGAACTATTTAATAGAAATTATTGAACTAGCTTTTAGCATAACAATAATTGTATGGATAAAAAAAAACTTGATATGAAACTCTTTTTTCAAACGAATACATTCTTATTGTGTCAATGGTTTAGTTGTGAACAACATAGCAATTATACTAGTTATACTAACTGTATGAACTTTATTAAGAGGCTACATTAAATATTATTATATTATAAAATAAATCTATTGTCACTTTCTTTATGTATTTTATTTAAATAAAAGATTCCCGAGCGACTATATCTGAAACAATAACTCACAATAGGAGTATTTCTGTAATACTTATTTCGTAAGGCGTTTATTTGATAGATGACGCAAGCTCCTCACAACATGAAATAAAATATTCCCAGTCATGTTTTTATATAACAAAAATATTACTGAGTCACAACAATGAAGGCAATACTTTTCTATGAATTGACTACCGTATATACTCATTCGAAATTTTAACGTTTGTAATAAAACATAACGTAACATATAAATAAAATTAATATAGAAGCTCAATTCTTGGTAATTAAACACAATGAATATATTTTAAAGATAAATTTTTGAAATTTCTAATTGGAAAAAAATTATAATTGATCCTAAATTAAGATGAAATCTCTTTTCAACATTTATAAGCGAAGACAAAGTTTATCAAAAGCTATGAATTTTAAACGTTTTTTTCATTTTTCGATGCTGATCCGTAAGTTGGAAGTTAAGTTGAATTTTAACTTTTCTTTCATTAACTTTCCAAACGAATTTTGAAGTTCGTTATTTTTTTTATTTTTAAGGTAAATATAAGCGATTTCTTTATTATTTCAGTTTCTTAAGTATTTAAGAGATAATTTTGTTAAATAAATACTGAATAAATTATAAGAGCATTAAGTTGGGTACATTGGGTACATGTATAGTATAAGATATTATTTGTTCAACAAAGTTACTGACATTGTACAATAGTCACACCAGCCTGTACCCCTGAGCTTACCTGTTTATACATACTCACCTGTCCAACTCCGGACTTACCTGTTCACACCAGCCTGTGCCTCTGAGCTTACCTGATTATAAATACAAACTTACCTGTCACTCGTCAAAATGAATATATTGCTTTTTAAGATTTTGTAGACCACCAAAGTGTAAATACCTACCCTATACATAAGTACATATTGTCACTTTTGTATGCTAATTATTAATTATCTGTGCCTGGACTCATTATAAGCCCTTATATAGGTGGAAGCCTCTTGGCCTGTAAGCTGGATACAGTAATTCAAAAACAGTATTCGGAACCAATCTTATTTCTATACTAGATGGATGTAAGTTAGATATTATAATAATTACGATATATACGGAGCATTATACGGAGTTGATTTAAACATACATTTGGATGGAGGCGAGAATGTGCATGCAGTGTTTTGAACACAATGTGCAAGAAAGATGTAAGAGTGAACTGACGCACAAATTCAGCTAGAAATATTTAATTTGAATATCACCATTTAACGTTTAAATGAAATTTGACGTCTATTACTGATATGATACTGACTAAAACATCTTACATACGCAATGAAAACATTAAAAATCTCACTACATTCAGTGGACGCCGCAGGGTGGTAGTTTGTAAAGACGCAAGAAGACCTTTGCGATTTATATATATATGTTTTATATATATATATATATATGTTTTTACATATGTATACCTGGAACATGAACTTCCAGAAGTTACGGATTACATTTGTATAGTAGAAGAACATCAATCACATACTAAAATTTATATTTAAACTATAATTGAGAGTAAATATAATGATTTCTACTCACACTAAGTCCATATTTAGCGTTGTCATGCTCCACCTTAGACCTGCAAGTTCTGCAGAATACGCGAACTGCTGCATGCTGTCCTGGAGTAATAAAACCCAGATCGATGTTAAGTTGCAGCAGTCAGGGTCCGAGTACGCGAGAGGTCTGGAAATTAATGGAGGCCAGTTAGTGAATTAGGTAGAAAAATAGGGTAGTTTTGAATATTTTGTATAATTTATCAAGAATTTTGATATATTATAAACCTTCTCCATGTGAGAAGAGGCCTTTGCTTAGCAGTGGGCTATAATAGGCTGATGACGAATGACGAATTAAATTTTATTAGCGATTTATGTATATAAATGTAGAATTTTTGATGTATGTTTTTTCATTTAATGTGTAATAGTCAGTAGAAATCCTCACCTTACTAGATCCAAAGTGACGAATGACTTCGGTAGCTGGAAATCACCGTCACGTTTGTACCAGAGTCTCATCAGTGGTGTATCCTGAACACAGACATATACTATAGATACATATATGTATATGTTTAATTCTATCCTACTAATATTATAATAGCGAAAGTTTGTGAGTGTGTGTGTATGTTTGTTACTTCTTCACGCTCAAACGGCTGAACCTATTTTGATAAAGTTTTGTGTACGGGAAGGCTACTTTACATCCCGGAAATCCCGAAAATCCCGGAAATCGGCGGGTAACACCACGGGGAACAGCTTGTTCTGTTATAAATACTAGGGAACGAAAAATGCTATATTGGTGACTCAGGTCTTTCATCCACGGAGATGATCTCGACAACTGAATGTACGATCGACTAGAGGTTTTATGTTCTATAGACCAGTTATATGGGGTGGTTTTTATAAAAAAATATGACCGGACCACCAATTTCAATTTCGGAAAATGGAAGTCTTAATAATACGCCTTAATTAAGCTTCTATAAGTCTAAATGGAGTTTGCCATGAAGTCTAGGTAATATTGGCAATTTAATGATTAAGATGATAAAACATGATACTTATATTAAGATAAAACCGTTTTTAAATGTTTTGTTCGGCAAAGAAAAAGCAACAAATTGTTCCCGAAAAATAGAAAATAAACAAAATTCTAACAAGATGTATAGAACTCATCCACGGAAACACAAGTAAACTTGATGAATATGTATATATATACATACATATGTACCATCAGCTTAATGATAATTTGGTGGATTCATTATACTTTCAGGATCTTACATTAAATGCCTTTTATTAATAAAAGGCTATTATTATAATCTTATATACGAGTAGATGGCTTGTTTTAATCGAACGAAATAAAATTAAACCGTATATGTATGTCTTAGCGTTCAATTACGAAGAAGGATTATTTGACATTACCTAGTTATACTATTACTCAATTCCAATATATATTACAAACCCAATAATATTAAAATTCATATATAATGTGATTTCATCTCTATTATTATTGGCAATTAAAAGATCCAAGTTGGCTACAAAAGTATCATCGTTATCAAAAACTGTTCAACGTAAATTACATTTAATGAAAAGTCTAAAATATTTTACGTAAAGAGCAAGTTCTCGTTAGTATTTAATCATTTTCCGATTCATTAAACTAAAATAAAAATTATATAGATTTTGTATCTGTTTAGCTGTGTTCTTAAAATATGTGCAGTATAGACAACATGGCTATAATTAAACTTGTTTTTTATGTCGCAGTAATTTTAAATGACATTTCTTTCGATCAAATTTATGAAAAAACAATCAAGTCTATACAATACTATAGTCTTTTCAATTAAATGTTTAATTATAATAATTATATTTTATCATTAAATTTGCCAAACTTTTACATAAATACAATTAAATCTGTAATGAATCACCGGCAGTAATTTATCTACATATATCTCCAGCTGCTTCTGTAATAACTTACAATTATCGATATAGTGCTATTGAATTAATACTCATATATGTACATAAATCATCTCATATCATTGAAATATAAATGTATATAACATTTACTCAAGTTTAATAAAATTGTTAAAAAGTATACACATCAAAAGTCATACTAACATATTTTTTCTTGCTAAATTTCGTATTGACCATCATTGTACCTATTTACACTTTCCCCGTTTAGAAAATGATATGAAACAGTTACTTATATGTTGACAATTTATATTAAATATTTGACAAACAAATACTAGTTAAATGAATGTGAAATGAAAACTGTATTAAATTCAGAAGCCAAGGTTATGATTGCCTTATTCTTGCGGAATTAGAACGACCTCGAAGTGATAGTTTAGATCGATAAGAAGTTCGATCTTCGCCATTTCATACAAGTCTACTTTTGTACTACTAAGTCAGAAATTGTTCCCTAACTGACAATAGATAACAAGCTGAATGTTTCCATAAGCCATCCAATACTTGAGCACGTCAAAACTCCGCACTTTATCCGGAAGCTTTTTGTTTTGTTTCTATAAAGTAATAGCTTGTCAGGAAAGTAACGCCCTACAGCTCATTGTAACAGCCAGGTATAAAGTAAAACTTTAATGCCTTCAAAACACTATGTAAAAGATATACAGAGCTCATCGCAGCATTGCGTGGTTTGTAAGGTATCTAAACTTTCCGTTTAACTATCTATCGGAGCATACATTTAAAAACCTAAATAAAGACAAAATTTCACTGTATATATTCTGTGCATGTAGGCTTAGAAAAAAATCATAAACAAGTTATTTTTAAGAGTAAGAATCAATGGCGTGCACAGAGATTTGGTTTCGGGTAAGCAGAATATGTTTAAAAAATAAAATACCTATTTTCATCATTGCCTCGTTTCGTTTCGTTTTATGTACTTTATAGATGGAACTTTTAACAAATCATGAATCAAAATATGTATTTTAAATGTCTGTAAACATTTTTATTTCGTAATGTATGACTAAAAGTACGTAAATAAGAATTAAACAACATAGGTTTAGTTGTTATATGGGTAGGGTATGCAGTGCTTATTTGCATCTATGGTGTGCACGCCACTGGTAAGAATGTAACTGTGGTTAGAATTTATGACAGCACTATAAAAGTAAAACTTATTCTTTTCTCAAGCATTTGATTAACATAAACAATAGAGGCGACGTCTTGTTCCGCTTTATAGAAAAATTACATTTAAATACACATATTTTCTTAAATATAAAGTCATTGATAGGGGCTACATGAAAGGAACTTGTGTACTTTATCACGTCAGAATAACTCTCATGTTACTCCAATACATAACCTGTTTATAAAGCTCGATTGAAAACATAATTTATTAGATATATAAATGAGTACATTTTGAACAAAAAGTAGATGTCTATGAAACTTTCTCACTTGTAACAAAAATTTGCAAGCCTTTAATATAAATCTATAAACATATTTTTATGTGAATATTTTTAATAGATTTGTTTAAAAAATTATAACTAAAGTATTAATAATTCATTTCTTTCCATTTAAATGATATTTATCATATCTGTAATGAGCATCATAATATACTCGTAAATAATTTGCTAAATTTATTCTAGCGGTGAAATATCATGCTAAGCCAAACCGTACTATAGCGAAATCTACTAAACTAATTACAACCGAGAACTAAATCCCAAAGAGCTAATTTGAATCATAAATGTTTCATTTTGGAGGAAACTATTTAATAAAGTAGACCAAAATTTAAAGTAGATATTTTACTTTACTGACGAATAAAAGAATTATGTCACTTACAACATACTTACTATATTCGAGAAAAGAACTAAGTTTTAATATTTTATTAAATTTATATATGTATATATATTTTTATTTAATGACTTTGGGTCATTTTTATGTCGCCTTCATACTTTACTATATAAAAATGTTACAGTCTAATCAGTTTGAAAATTTAGAAAAACAAAAGATTTCAAGTGAATTTTACACAGTTTGCTATGAAAGTATTTCAAGAAGTTTTTTAACCAGTAAACATAAAAATTTCAAACTAATTCTATAATTGATTATTATTAAGAAACCACATCTTTCATGAAAACAATATCGGCAATTTCAAAAGGAAGCTTAATGTTTTTGGATACTTAGACTATCAACCTAACTACCATCTACCTATTTTATCTACCATCAGGATTACCTAATTGGACAATACCTCCGGCTTTCAGGCACCCATCGCAACTAAGCTTTTAGCTATAATAAAACGTCCACTCGGATTAATTACGACCTATATCAAGAAACTCCATGTAATATCCTCTAGCATAAAGATTATTTTTACAATCAGTAAAAGTATAACGAAGACAAAACAAATAAATCAATGAAAAAACATAAAATATGTGTTTTATTACAAAAAAATCAGGATAAGTAATATATCAAAATATTCACTTATTAACATTTTGTAAAAGCTACTTTTACTTATCTTTTAGGTAGAAATACTGAAAAAAATTAAGCAGTTTACAGTAATGTAAATAACCCTCGAAATTTATACACAAGATAATTTCTCTTCCACATTTTATAGCTTGAACCTATCCAACAATAATAATTAATTTAAGCAAATTTGTTATACATAGTTCTAAAATGTTTGAGACAATTTAAATAAATAAAGCTTTTACAAAAACGTACAGAAAAATCCGTGCAATTTTTTTTAAATAAAAAAAGAAAATGGATGAATGAATGTCTTTAGATGAGCTCACAATTGCTTAATTTGTCTGTTATTTACTTTCCGTATTGTTACTACCGCGTTTTGTTTTCGCAACAGAGTAAATTAATGGAACATTAACAATTACATTCAAGTCATATAAGGTAATTTAGCAACAGATAAATAGGCCCACATCCGTGTTTCCCTTCATTAATTTTTGTGAGAAAATATCAAGCGAAAAAGGTTTCATATGTTTCATCTCATGGTGAAGAAAAACATCATGAGGAAACCTGGACTTATAATTTCACAGTTATAAGTTTGAAATCACCAACCCGTCTTGAGGAAGCGTGGTGATTAATGCTCAAACCTTCTCCGTGTGAGCAAGAGGCCTTTGATCAGTAGTGGGCTCTGATAGGCTGATGACATGTTTCATCTCATCTGTATCTTAATTATTTCACCATCGAGTAATGTTCCTTTGTTTAAATAATTGTCTTTAAAAAATTATCACATTATGTCTTATTTCTAAGTTATTTACCAAGTAAGTTTGTCTAAATTTTATATTTATGACAATAAACTAATTCTTTCATATTTATCTCCCTTATTTTTATTTTATCATCTCTTTTGCTATCCACAGTAAAAAAGAACTTAGAATACCCTATTCGGTTTCTTTCCTGTCGTATTTTTTATTATATGGACCATAAATACCTAATGTTACGTTAACCAACTCATTAATCTAAACGGTAATACTAACTTAGAACTCGAATAAATCTTATAATGGGGTAATTACGTAAACTATTTTATACAAGTTACAAATTTTAATAATATTATATTCTATCCACTACATATTCGAAGAGAACATTTAATAAGTTTATTAGGAATGT